GAAACAGAATCTTCTCCTGCCCTCCTTTCAGCTGCCCCAAGGCAGGACTCTAATCTTCCCTGCCTTTCAGATTGTGGGTCATGCCCAATTCCCAGGAGGTCAATTACATATTAATGGTTGTCCTTAAGAAGCCTAGATGACTGAGTTCAGAGAGCTTACAGGCAGCTGAACACAGAGTTTCCTGGAAGATGGCTCACCCAGGGAAGCCCTGTGCTCCTTCCCCCATACCTTGCCCTATGGCATCTCTTCATATGTATCCTTTGAGCTGTCCTTTATAAGAAACTGGTAAACCTAACTGTTTCCCTGACTTCTGTGAGAACCCAAGCAGCAGGGGCATGGGGCACACGTGGGAACCTCAACATGAGGCCACTTAGAAGTTCAGGAGAGCTGGACTTGTCTGGACTTGCAACTGGCGTTTGAAGGGAGTGGGCAGTTTTGGAAACTGAGCCCTCACACTGTGAGATCTGATGCTTTCTCCAGGTGGATAGTGTTGGAATTTGAATTAGAGGATGCCCAGCTGGTGCCTGCTGTTTGATGTGGGTGGGAGGAAATCCCTACATTTGGTCACAAAAGTTTTCTGTATTGATGATTGTTGTAGTATAAGAGCAGAAAAGAAACACTGTTTGAGAGTTTTTTCAAAACATCATGAGTTCACATGGATGTTACATGCCAGGAAAGATAATTAAAACACCAGTAGTAAACAAATAAATAAATAATTGAAGATGAATTAAGTACTATGAGAAAGTAAATAAAAGTTTGATATAGAGAATAACAGAGAAGATTCTCTTTAGATAAGGATGTCAGGAAAGGTTTTACATTTAACTTGAGCCTGAAAGGAAGGAAGGGAGTTCACCATTTGAAAAGCATTATAAATATATGTGCGTGTGTGTGTGTGTGTGTGTGTGTGTGTGTGTAAAAGGACTTTGAGGCAGAAAATAGCTTAGTATTTGAGGAACTGAAAGAAATAGTATATCTAAACTTTAAGATGAGGTTGCGGAGGGATAGGTAGATTTTAAGTCCTTATGATGAATATTTTATTCATTTAGCACAGGTTTCTTGAGCATCAATGATTGCCAGTGATTTTTCTATGCACTGAGATAAATTAATGAACATAATTTCTAAGGTCTTCATACTCATGGGTTTACATTGTAATAAAGGGAGAAACATAAATGAATATATCAAAAGTAAATAGGTGGGTGTGATGGCTGAGGGCATGGTAGCTCACACCCACTTACTCCAGAGGCTAAGGTGGGAGGATCCCTAGAGGCTGGAATTTCAAGACCAGCCTGGGCAACATAGAGACCTCATCTCTAAAAGTAAATAAATAAATAAATAAATGAATAAATGAATGAATCTTCAGATAGAGTAAGGGCTATGAGAAAAACAACGGAAAAACAATGGAGAGCAACTTAGAAGGCAGAGGTAATTGATACATAGTGTGGTGTCTCTGAAGAGGTAATAGTTGAGCAGAAACTTGAATAATGAAAAAGAAACAGATCTGTAAAGACCTTAGAATAGATCCTTCTAGGCAGAAAAGAAAAAGAACAAAAACAAAAGACAATGCAAAAATCTTCCATTAGAAATGAGTTTGGCAATTTTGAAGGGCAGAAAGAAGCCCAGTGTGTCTGGAATACAATGAGAGACAGGGGAATGGAAAGCTAAGGTCAAAGAGGAAGGTATGCAGAGCCTTGAAGACCAGGGTAAACAGTTTTTATTGTATTCTAGTTTTAATGATAAGCCACTGTTGAGTTTTAAACAAATACATGATAAAAGCAGATTAAATCTTTACAAAATCACTGTGACTTTCTGTGGAGAATGAACTGTAGGACAAATAAGTGCAAGAAATGAGAGGTAGGTGGTTACTGTAGGAATTCAAATGGGAGATAAAGGTTACATGAACCATAATGGTAGCAAGGGCAGTTTAAATAATTTAGTGGGTCTAGAATACGTTTTGATGGTAGAACTTGCAGTATTTCCAAAGGATAGGTCAGAGAATTTGAGAATGATTCCTTGTCTCTTAACGTGATCAATTTTGTGAGTTGCAAAGTCCTTTACCAAGATGAGAATGATTGGTAGAACAATGGGTTTTAAGACACACGGAAAGGAAGTTGAATGTTATTCTAAATGCATTGGGAATCTATTAGATGATTTGGAGTAGAGGACGGGAGTAAATTCAATGTATGCTTCAGTAAGATTTCTTGTGCTGCTCTGTAGAGAATGAGCTAAAAGAAAGGAAAGTAAGGATGATGCCTCAGTGACTCATTTGAGTAGCTGTGTAAATGATGGTGCTATTTTCTGAAAGCAGAGAAAACTGAAAAGGTGCACAAGTTTTTGGGAAAATAAGAATTTCACTTGGGGCATGTTAAATGTGAGATGTCTGTAAGACATAAAATTATGCTGACAAGTGCTCCTGGATATGCATGCTAAGACTCACAAGGAGAAGTCTGCATCAAATATATAAATTTTCAACTCATTAGCATAAAGATATTATTTAATTTGATGTGTGTGGGTCAGATCAACTAGAGATAAAATTTAAGAAAAGGGGATAGGGTCCATAATCAAATCTTTAACGTCAACATTTAAGTGAGAAATTATAATAACATACCATGGAATATAGGCCAGATAATAAAGAGAGATCAGGATGGGGTTGATAGATAGTGGGGAAATGTGAGTTCACTGAAAGTTCTTTATGAGAGTGATGAATTTAAGTGTGGGTGTGATTAAACATTGAGTTGGAAAAATAAAAAAGACTCTTCCCCCCACCATAATATTCTGAAGTAAAAAATAAATAAACAAATAAAAAAATCCTAAGGCAGAGGTAGCTAATTTTCTGACAGATGCAGAAAGCAGTTGTGATCATGGGAAAGAGACTACATTTCAATGAAGAAGAAAATTTGGTAATGAGGAGATAAAAGGATTAAAAGATCAGCCATGTTGTATGCTTCATATAGGTGGATTTTGAATATATGGAGAATGATGATAAGAGTTAGAAAAGAGAGCAAAATTGCCATCCAGTAGGTACATATTTGAAAAGTAAAGACTTTCTTTCCCACATAGTAAATCTGAATCAGATTTCACCGGATGACAGCAACTGTAAGTAGGCCTGGTATATAGTGAGTAGCATGAGTCTCAGAGGAGCAGAAGTTACTGCACAAGGCAGGGGAACAAATAGTCTGGAGGCAGCAATGAGGGGCAGCAAAAACACCAAATGTGCCTCTGTCCTTGAGAGATGTAAAGATAACACGGAAGATAGTCTCTGAGAAAGAGGGCTAAGGCTAAGCAGTGTCTACAGGGAACAGCCCAGTAAAGCAGGAAAGAAAAAGGTCATTCTAAAAATTAGATGAAGATATAGTGCAGTGTGCTGATCTCTGAATTGGACTTTCTTGACACACAGTGGCTGTATTTAGGATCAGAATAACTGGAAGTAAGGCTAGAGGTATGTGAAACAGCACAGGGATAAGTTAGGTCAACAGGTATGGAAGGAAGATAGGATTAATCTTGATTATTTCTGAGGTGAGTATAAGCAAGCCAACCTGATGTCATGTCCAAAACTCCTTTAGATATGCTATCCCTCCTGGGATGACTGTGGTTCTCCAGGCTTGGGGAAGAGGGTGATCACATTCTTAGATGGACTGGCTTGGCAGCTTCGTAAGCCTTTTCACTCCACAATAGCTTTCTCTAAGAGAGCAGAGGTTTTGCCCATGATGAAATAGTAGGTAGAGGGCCAATTGCACCCTGGTTTATTCATAGCACATTCTGCCGTACCATGTTTCATGTGCCCCCAATAAAATATGCTAATGCATGGATTCTCTTTGCACTTAGTTAAATATACAGATTTTTTTTTTTTTTTTTTTTTTTTTTTAGTATATACAGCCTGATTTGCAAAGCTTCACAGGATTTGGCTCCCCAATCTGCTTTCCTCCTCATTTTGTTTAACCAACTTCCTCACTTACTGGATGTGACTTCAGTTGCATGTTGGCTATGATCCTCTTCCTGGCACACTCCCATGTTATATTGGTCTCTGGGCTTTTTAAATGCTGTGTCCTTGGCCTGAAACACTCTTCTTCTAGAATTTCAAATGGCTAGACTCCTTCTCATCTTTTGAATTCTACTTCATCTTTCAGTTCCTCAGAAAAGACTTTCAGATATATTACTCAATTTTGTCTTATCTTACCAAGTACCTTACAGTTGTTCTCTATGCTATTGACCTATTTTTATAATACTTAGCAGCACCTAGGGATATGTGTTCTGTTTGTTTAGCCATTTATTATCTGTTTCCTTCTCTATATCATGAACTTCATGACTCAGGGATTTCTCTTTTATATAGAGGACTGGCTCACAGTAGCTTCTCCATAAAATTATGTTGGATTAATGAATAAGCACTTGATAAATATTTGTTTCCTTCTCTATATTTTGAAGTAAGCTAGTACTTTTTCTATTATAATTAAATATGGCAGTTGTAATTTTCATGGTCGTTAGTACAAAAGGTGATAATATGTATAAAAAGTCCTCACTCCAACACTTAGCATATAGTAGGAAATTAATCAATGGCTTTTTTTTCATTCATTTCATCCATATATTCCACTGAAACAGGACACCAGATATTGATTAAATGGTATAATTCAAATCGAGATATTATAGTTATGGTGAAATTAAATATTATGTATTATATATTATATAGCACATAGCATGTCATATATTATTTGTTAAATGTGATATAAAATATATTCTATAAGGTATATAATATATCATATTTTATTATGTAGTGATGGTGGGATTATTATAGCTAGATATTCTCTTATAATGCACAAATATTCCTTAAATAATCTATCTTCCATTTTAATATTCAAAGCTATACTAATTACAATAAGAAGAAAATAAAGTTGACTGTTGTCTTAAATTAATGAGAAATGTTCTATGTTCTAGGAAAAGTTCTAATTCTGATAGTAAGTTTTATGGCTAACTTGTTTACCTTTTTCCTTTATGTTCGATGTTTCCAGGAAGAACCCTATGTCCTGTTTAAGAAGTCTGACAAACCTCTCTATGGTAATGATCGATTTGAGGGCTATTGCATTGATCTCCTCAGAGAGTTATCCACAATCCTTGGCTTTACATATGAAATTAGACTTGTGGAAGATGGGAAATATGGAGCCCAGGATGACGCCAATGGACAATGGAATGGAATGGTTCGTGAACTGATTGATCATGTAAGGCTCTTTTCTCATTATGTATTTGTTTGGTAGATTGCTACAAAGTTTACTCTTTTATTTTCCTTGATGTTCAAGGGTTAAAAACTACAAAAAGCAGTGATATTTTTCAAGTATGTATTTCTGTCAATTTTATTGGAGATACATTTTAAAGGAGATATTATTTTTGTCACTAAATATAAAGAATCAAAGAGGGACATATAATCTTATTAGAGAGAGATGTCTGTCTTAATTAAATTCACTGGTATTGAGTGATTTAACATCTTGAGATTGTTGGTCTTAATTTGTAAATTGGAACAGGATTTCCCAACAATGAATTTCTTCTTCACTTTTGCAATGCTAATTTCCTAATCAACAGAGAGAATGAGTGATACAACCTCTAAATTTTGCGATAAAAGTTTCCTAAGGTAGGGTTAGGTACTTTTTATCTTTAGCCTAGAGATGAGACAATAGTATCTATATGAAAAAAATTGCATAGAATAAGATACTCTATAAAAAATAAAATAATAATGTTAAGCATATTGAAACAGAAATGAGAACATTTTTTTTAATCAAATAAGCCAGACATTCCTAATTGGTCAGGAAAGCATTGTTTCTAGACTTCTCATCTCTTTGAAATAATATCTTATCTCTTAAGTAACATAACATTGTATTTGATTTTGTGTTTTGTTACATTTAAGTTTCTTTTGACATTTTTCATAATATTAAAGTATATAATTATGGCTAAGGTAAGAACTCTACAAAGCAATAAAATTATTTTTCTTTTAAAAATAAATGTTCCAGAGAGAGGAACAGGTCACTTTCCAAAGGTGGAGAAAGACATTAAGGATGCCCAGGTGGTTCCCTTTTATTGGCCTGGTTGGGGGCGGGCTTACAGGGGTGTGGCTATTAACAGATGATTGATAAGATTGTCAAGTGTTCTGCATTTTCCTGCAGTCCCTTCCCCTGATTAGGTCCCTGGCTTCGCCTCTAGGAACCACCCTCCTGGCCTGTATCTGCCACCTACAGATTTGGTCCCTGCCTAACACCATCATCAATAGACTATAGTTATGCAAGTATTATGCTGGGAAAATGTAATTAAAAGTAAATTCTCCTCCCAACCAGAAAAGGTAGAAGAAAAAGAAAACAATTTTATTCTTGCATAAACATTAAGCCAGAATATGATGGATATCACAGGCAATCTGTCAAGAGATTGCAAAGATGAAAGTAATCTCACACTTTTGTGTAGCTAAGCAAATCCAATTGTAGGGGACAAAGGAAAGCTTCCCCTTCACCCTCTGAAGGTTCACTGAAAAACCAACTCACAAAAGACAGATTAATTGGAGGAAAAGCATACAAAATTAATTAGCATGTACACAGGGAATATTACAGAATAACTCAACCCCCCAATGATACACAGAGGCTTATATACCATCTTGATGTTACAGAAAGAATGAGGGCTTGGATGATGGCAACACAGGTTGTGGGAGGTGGGGGGGAGATGAGGCTTGCCTAGCAAAGGTGGTCTTGTTATGTAAATGAAACCTCATAAGTAGCAGCCCTCAGAGAGAAAAAGTGGCAAATGTTTCTTTCAGACCTTTAAAATTGTCCAATTCTCAGTTAATCTTTCTCAGATCTGGACAAGGGAAAGCCTCAGAAAAAAACTGGCTGCATCAATGCAGATTTTCTATAGACGCAAATTTCCCCCATAAAAGAAAACTTTGCCAAACTACTTCTCTTTGCTGGCTATCTGACAGCCATCTCAAAATATGCCAAAGAAATATATTTCGAGGTGAAATATTTTTATTTCCTTCACATCCTAATACATATATGTTTTCAAGATAAACACTAACTGTTTCTCAAGTAGGAGGACTACACAGCACCATTTGTCACCCAGAGTTCATCCTTAATTCACTTGGTAGTTGATGTTGCCGTCTGTTTTCGAAGGAAAAATAAACTTCTGATATCTTTATGACAGGAAGTAGTTTTGCAACTTGGAGTGAGTACCCTTTAAAATTAGGCTCTTAATCTTCTACAGAAATTGAGATAGGTCCTCTTTATCTCTCTTGATGATTACATTTCAAAAAGATACTTTCCTTGGGCCCAGAGAAAGGCATTCCTGGTCCTAAAGCCAGGGGCAAGAGGCTTAATTAGATTTTAAAAGAGTTACATGCATTTCAAAGAGAGAGAGAGAAAGGACTTAGAATTGCAAGGTTTTTAAGTACCTATTCTAAGAAAAGGGTAAGTGCAGGGATATCTCTCCCTTTACTTTCAACTGGTAAAATTAAACCTCTTAATTTAATTAACATTTGCCTTTACAGTTGCAAGTGCTTGTTATTTGAGAAACAGCTGGTTTATCACCTTCTCCTCCATCCCTCCTTCTTGAGAATACCCTCAATGTACAGGTTTTGGTCTGCTCTCTCACATTCATTAAGATCTAACCAGGGATAGTTCTTGGTGGCTCAATATGATGACACAACCTCAGAAGAATATTAGGAGAAAGTGGATTCCTAGGGTATTGAGTATTGTTAGTCCTTGAAAAAAGACATTCTTCCTGAAACCACTGTCACCTACAACCCCCTCTGCATACACAGGAGGGTTCCACAATATGGTGTACTCTAAATATTTGGTAAGGCAGAGGTGAGTTAAAATCCTGATTCTTCTAGTATGTATTAATAGTTGTATTTGTATAAGCACTTTGCCTTAAATTCTTTGAGGCTTAGGTTTTTCAAACACAAAATAGAGATAATAATATCATATTAATAATTAGGAACAATGTATATGAATTTCCTAATACTATGCTTGACATGCAGGAGATAATAGAGATATAACTAATAAGTCCAAACTTTGTGTCTTCTTATTTAGTTTACCTTTCTATTCTAGTATTTATGAGTATTCATGTTCAACTAAAACATAAAACATAGACACTATTACAATGAGAAAGATGGATTATAGTGTTATTGTTATTAATTTTGATTTTAATCATAGTCAATTAAATCAGTGTTAAGTTTTAATAGCAGAGTTTATTAATTGGATCCTTTGGTGTTCCAAATATATTAGTGCTTTCCTATCTAAGTGACCTATGTCTTGTGAATGGCAGTTTTATATTAGAATTAATTAAACATAGGGTACATTGGTAGAGAATAAAATTCACTATTAGATTAGCAATAGGCAAAATAAATGGGGGAAAATGATGTTATAGCAACAGCAAACCTGGGGCATTCATTAATTTTCAAAATTCCTTTTAATGTTTTTAAAACCTCAAAATAGTCATTATAAAAAAATGAAAACATCTTTGGATCTCTTTGTACTTATTTTATAGTTTGGTATTATAATAAATTTGAATTACATATGAGACTGAAAGTGAAGTAATTTATTTTCCTTGCTTAAGTCTTTAAAAATCTTCTCATTTTTGTAATTAGCCTAATGCTATAATTAATCCAGCATTTTCAAATACATTTAAAAAATGAAATTCACATGAAAAAATTTTAGTGGCTACATTGCAAAATATTAATAATATATGTCTTACTACAGAGGAAGTAAAGGAATAAACAATCTATTTTGTGTTTCTTTTGTATACCAATCACTTGCTCTTTTTAACACTTGAACTCTAAGAGGTTTTTCCTTTGGGCTGATCATCTTTTGAGTTTTTATGATGACTGGTGGCTTGGGCCATTCTATGTGAAGATTTTGGTCAGCTATGAAAGGTTGATAATTAGCCTGGTTCAGTGGATCACGCCTGTAATCCCAGCACTTTGGGAGGCTGCGGCAGGAGGAATGTTTAAGCATATGAGTTTAAGGCTGCCGTAAGATATGATGGTGACATTGAACTCCAGCCTGGGTGACAGAGTGAGACCCTGCCTCTTTAAAAAAAAAAATGATAATTTTCTTGAGTAATCAGACTAATTAGAATCTAAATTAGGACACTATGTCACCATACCAGTTCACTGCATCCATGATCCTCTGTATTGTAGTGTATACCTGGTGGCATGCAGCTGCTTCAGATATACTGAAAACAACTGGGAGATATAAATAATAACAGTGCTAAAAGTGTTCAGCATTCAATAATATTTATTGAAAGAATGAAACAAATATTCCACAACAAATGTTAAACTCAAGCACCATGCTCCTTAGAGACTATGGCTACATATATTCCAAATGCTTTTTATTTTTATATTGTCTTCCAAGAGCTCCAATGAAAGTGTCTATTCAAGGACCAAGTAAAGAAATAAACAATGCCATACCTTCCTCTTCAAAATTAAAACATTATAACTTTTTATATAATATTTTATAAAATATTTTATCATATTTTTCATTCTTAAAAGCAAGTTTAGCTATGGAGCCTGAAAGAGTAGAGATAAGTATACAGAAACTTGCTAATGCAACCATTGCATTAAGTTAGACATAAATTTTACTTGTAGCTTTGGGTCATATGTTCCTTATAGCTAATAACTCATTTATGGGCTCATGAGACAACTGCTTTATGTTATTCATAAAGCCAGCTAGAATTATTCATTAGCATGAGGGAAAACACCTAAGCTGCAATAAGCTAGCACATATTATTATGGGACTACTTAAAGTGACAAGGGCAGTTAAATTACTTTCAAATCTCTGGTGATGTTTGCCTTGGTGTTAGAAAACCTCAGGAAGATTTATGCTTATAGACATCCATGCATAAGCTAATAAGGCAAGGCACAAAGTCTCTATATGTGCAAGTTAAAAATGGAACTCAGGTCTGTCTTCATTTTCTAGTTTTCCACCAACCCACGTAGCTCAAACCTTTGCCAGTTCATTATGTCTTTATTATGTACTTCCTGCCTTTGATTTCTTCTTTATGAATCCATCTATACATTATAGTCAGATTTTAATTTAATCACTAATATTTTCTCAAAGCTTTCCCACTGAAAGCATTACATAGGTACTGAAAGATTAAAGTATATAATTTCAAGCACTCATGTTGACCTTTAATTTCTTTCTCCCGTTGGTTGGGTGCAGTTCTCAGCTCTCCGTTTTTGTCACCT